GCTGCAGTTTTCCATTGACTTTAATCACAGGTCATGGTAGTACTAAGAGATGCCCTAAAGGATCTCCTGCATTCCAGACATAGTCTTCTTTACCTCCATGATGTAATATCAATCAGGTTTACTCCTGGTAATCAGGATCAGTCACACCAGCTAGTATGGTAACTACCTTCTTTGCCTGTTGATCCAGAGGCATAAGGAGCCCAAAGTGGCCAGGTGGCATTCTTAGCTTCTAGTTCAATGAAATCAGTGATGTGTCTCCACGTGGGAGCATTTCTCCTTTTCGAACTAAGACCGCTAGACCTACAGAGCATAAGATTGGGGTACAGGAAGTAAAAATCTGGTGAGTGGGTCACTAGGGGTAATAGTGAGTGGTGCCATTCCCATTTGCACCCCTTGATTCCTAGACCCATGCATCCTGGCTATGGGAGAAACAGCACCATATATTGGATGCTGGTTTAGAGCATACACAGTCTCCTGGAGAACATTGCCTCAACCCTGCAAGATATTGCCACTTAGCTGGTGCCATAATTGTGTCATTAGAAGGCTGTTCCACCCTTCTATCAAGCCAGCTGCTTCAGGATGATGGAGAACACGATAGGACCAGTGAATTCCACGAGCATGGACCCACTGCCACACTTCATTTGCTGTGAAGTGAGTCCCCTGATCCGAGGCAATGCTGTGTGGGACACCATGATGGTGGATGAGGCATTCTGTAAGTCCATGGATTGTAGTTTCGACAGAAGCATTGCATGCAGGGAAGGCAAATCCATATCCAAAGTAAGTGTCTATTTCAGTAATAACAAAATGCTGCCCTTTCCATACTGGAAGTGGTCCAATACAATCAACTTGCCACCAGGTTGCTGGATGATCACCTCAAGGAATGGCACTATCTGCCACTGACACTTCAAGCAACATTGGATCAGCCAGATCATATGGCCCAAGTGGTAGAGCAGCTTGCACAGCAGCCTGAACTTGTTGCAGAGTCATCTCTTATTCTGGGCCCCACTCAAAACTAGCAGCTTTTTGAGTCACTTGATACATAGGCCAGAGTAGCACACCCAAATTAGGAACACATTACCTCCAAAATCCAAAGAGGCCCACTAGGTATTGTGCCTCTTTTTAGTTGTGGGAGGAGCCAGATGCAATAACTTATCCTTCACTTTAGAAGGACTATCTCGACATGTTCCACACCACTGGACCCCTGAAAACTACACTGAGTGGAAGGTGCCTGAATTTTTGTGGGATTAATTTCCCACCCTCTAGCATGCAAGTGTTTTTCCTATAAGTCCAGAGTCATTGACATTTCTTCCTTAATAGGTCCAATCAGCGTAATGTCATCAATGTAATGGACCCTTGTGATGTCTTGCAGAAGGGAATGGTGATCAAGGTCCCTGCAGACTAAATGATGACATAGGGCTGGAGAATTCATGCAGCCCTGAGGTAGGCAACTGAAGGTGTATTGTGGCCTTGCTAGCTGAAGGCAAACTGCTTCTGATGGTCCTTCAAAACAGGTATGGAGAAAAAGGCATTAGTCCGATCAATAGCTGCATACCAGGTACCAGGACATGTGTTAATTTGCTCAAGCAATGAAACTACATCTGGAACAGCAGCTGCAATAGGAGTTACCACCTGGTTAAGTTTTCAATAATCCACTGTCATTCTCCAAGATCCATCTGTTTTTTGCACAGGCAGAATAGGTGAGTTGAAAGGGGATGTGGTGGGAATCACCATCTCTGCATCCTTCAAGTCCTTGGTGGTGGCAGTAATCTCTGCAATCCCTCCAGAAATGCAGTATTACTTTTGGTTTACTATTTTCCTAGGTAGAGGCAGTTCTAATGGGTTCCATTTGGCTTTTCCTACCATACTAGCCCTTACTCCATTTGTCAGGGATCCACTGGGGGGGGAAGGTCTTGTCAGTTGCTGAGTATATCTATTCCAATTATGCATTCTGGAACTGGAGAAATTACTACAGGATGGGTTTGGGGACCCATTGGACCTACTGTGAGACAGACATGAGCAAGACTCCGTTAATAACCTGTTCTCCATATGCTCCCACACTGACCAGAGGGCCACAGTGATGTTTCAGGTCTCCTGGAATTAGTGTCAGTTCAGAGCCAGTAGCCAGTAATCCCTGAAAATTCTGATTATTTCCTTTTCCCTAATGAACAGTCACTCTCATAAAGGGCCATAGATCCCTTTGAGGAAGGCTGGGAGAGAGGTTAACAGTAAAAATTTTTGGCAGTGTATTGGAGTCCTTCCTCAAGGGGACTCGGCCTCTGCTTCATGCAAGGAGTTGTGGGTCTCCAAACTCACTCAAGTCTGGGAATTGATTGAGGGACCCTGACTCTCTATTCTGGTGATTTGATTTAGACTGCTGTTCACCTAACCTAGAATTCATCCGTTTGTACAGATCAAGTAAATAGTAGATTTCCTATCTATTTCACTCCTAGGGACACCATGACTACGTAGTCAACATCCTAAATCCATATGAGCGAGTCAGACTATTCTGATTACTGATTTGACTCTGCTGTCCATTAGTGTAACCACGCCCACCTTGTCTTTGTTGATTGAGTGCAGCCATTTGGATCCTACTACCGCGGGGTCCAATCAGCCCCATTGTAGTTAGGAGTCTTAACCTGAGTTAGGGCAGTTCCCACTGTCAAATCTGACTTACATACAATAGCAATCACAGCAGTCTTCACGGATGCTGTGGCTCCCTTCACAAATCTATTCCTCTCAGTTGTGCTAAAAGGTGTGTCCTCTGGGCACTCCATGTGTGGGTCTGTGGGTCTAACCTGATAAATCCCCTCTAGCATGTCAATTTCCCTAAGCCTTTGGACACTTTCTTCTACAGTATACCAAGGCAGGTCTGGTACTTCAACTTGATTCAGAGTAGGCCACCAAGTAATCCATGCTTCAGCAACCCAACCAAATAAACTATTAGATCCTTTCCTAACTTCTCCATTTGAAATATTGAATGAAGAATCTGTGCTTAGTGGACCCATATCAATATACTCAGACTGATCCATCTTTATGTTCCTTGGACTATTTCCCACACTCTTAACAGCCATTCCACACATATTCCTCAGTTTTCTGTTTGTACATATTAGAAAAGTCAAGCAGTTCTTTTGGAGTGTAGCGTACCTCCTCCTGGGTCATACTTTGTAGTTTACCTTTGGGGGCTCCACTGGGACTTAAGTCTAGTATATGTCTAGCAGCCAAAGTCAGTAGTGGGGAAATATTTTGAGAATGTTCAGCATTGTCTTGTAGAGCATCTGCCTCAGGTAATGTCCTGGGTAATGACTCAGACAAGGGCTCTTTAGTGGCAGCTGGGCTAATCTCATTAGATGGGAGCGGAAGGGATAATGGTTTTACTGGGCAGGGTTATTTAGCAGAAAAACATGGAGTAATCTCTTTAGATGGGAGTGACAGGGCTGGTCCTATTGGCCAGAGTGATTCAACAGAATTTAGGGTCTCAATGTCTCCAGCTTCCTGATTATCTGCCCATATGTCCCCATCCCAAGTTTCAGGATCCCATTTCTTCCTAATCAGTGTCCCCACTTTAACTTTAGACACCTCTGGAAGTTGGCAGTTGAGTTGGCATTGTAATTCAGCCACTCTTACAATAAGACTGTGGGTTTGGTTTTCAGCAATATCAGCTCTGTTACTACAAGAAATAAGGCTTTCTTTCAAAACACAAGTGGAAACTTTCAGGTCATTTATGCGGCACTTGAGCTCTGACTCTGATGCCCTGAGAGCATCTCTTTCTTTCACCAGTTTGTCTAGTGAAAGTAGGACAAACCAACCAGCTTCCTTATGACTCTCATTCTGACTAAACTGTAGAAAGGTATCACACCTGAAACCACCCAGAGCCTCGTCTTTCACCAATATCTGATCTACTGGTGGTGATATTTTGCATATTTGGATTTCTACCTTATGCCATGGATATGCAGTGCCCTCTTTACTGATGGAAGCAGAGTCATCAACATCTTTATGACTAGCCAGACTTGAGAACCAATTTTATAAAACTCATCCTTACAATTTTGCTCCCCTAGAACCACTTTTGGTACCAAATGTCTTAGGCTGGGTTTTCTAGAGAAGAAAAACCAGTAAAGCATATAAATACATGTATATAGAGAGATTTATATAAGGAAATGGCTCATGAGGTTGTAGAGGCTGGATTGTCCCAAATCTGTGGGTGAGGATAGAGGCTTCTACTGATTCATGTACTCACGGTGGCTGGAGAACCCAAGATCGGCAGGTCAGAGAGTAGGGTTCTTGCTCACAGGCTGAGAACATCGATGAATCCCACGATCGACAGGTAAGCTGCTAGCTCAAGTTCCAAGAACTGGACACTTGTGTCCCCATATTTTGTCTATGTCCCACAACCCCGGTCCCATCCTTCTCTGTCCCCTCTTCATATCACTCATCCCTTCTGTCCACCCCCCCAGACCACCTCCCCCAGCACACTTCCATCCCTGAGTCACAGACATAGCTGTCCTCCCTCTCTGACATGGAAAAGCCATTAGACCACCTCAGAGGAGGCTGCACCCTTTCTAGTGCTCTGCTTCCCCTTGATGTGTATATGGATCCGGCTTCAAGCCAAACAATGATACTCTGTCTTGCTCTTGTCCTTGCCTCCTCTTATTCATAATTTATACCCACCCCTACTTCCCAAGAAAAGTGAGGTAAGTCCTAACATTACAATGGATAGGAAAGAGAGAGAGAGCTCAACCAGGCTAGACAAGGAGAACATCATGGCTGCAGGCTGTGTCTGAGATTCACACGTATGGCCTCAGGACACAAAGCTGAGCTTTGAGCTCCCTGGGGGCCGAGGAGAGTTTGGTCATTAGCTGTTTACCCTCTGATGTTGGGCAGTGAGCGGAGTCAGCCCTGAATCCAGGCCTTGTAATAAAAGGTGCCCATGGCTGAATGGCAGGTCTCCAAGGGGCCCACGAGTATTACGGCTGGGTGTGAGGCCAGGTGTCGGGGGCACTTACAGGAACAGAGACACTTTCACTTCCTGCAGACTCTCCAAAGATGGTCACCGAGCCCGGGTTCCCTCCAAAGTTGGCAATGTTCTCCTGGACCCAGTGCAGTGCAGCCACCTGGTCCAAGAGACCCCAGTTCCCTTGGCTGTGCTCATCCCTAGTGCTGTGAGTGAGAGAAGAGGGTAGGGTTGGGGACAGAGATGTTATAGCAGGGCTATCAAGACTGTAGATGGGGTGGGGGCCCCAGCTGGGCCTTTCAGAATACGACGGGGCTTCCACATCCCTGACGCAGGGGTCTTCACCTACCTTCCCCTCCTACAGCATTGTTCTATTAAGGACTCTACATTCATTCATCTGGCAAATATTTGTGTGTAAACATTTAACTGCTGTGCTGCATGTTAACTGTCATGATAGAGGAATATGCAAAGTACTGAGATGAGTATTTCAGAGGAGGTAATGTTTGGGCTGGGCCTTGTAGGATGAATATGAGTTTGTTAGGTAGACTAGGCATTCCAGGCAGAGGGAAGAACATATGCAAAAGCTCAGAAGTAAGTGGACCAGTGTGGCCAGGGAATTAGAATTTGGTGGTGGGATGCTTACGAAAGGACTTGAATGTCTTACTAAGGAACTTAGCAAAGGTATCCTTGAGGGCTGACCTGATCAGAGCTAAGTCCTAACACCCTTACTTTGAGGGCCAATGTGCAGTGGGGAGAATCCAATATCTTACCTGAAGAATACCCAGATCCCTAGGTGATACTGAATGGTCACTACCACCACACCTTCATGGGTAGACAGGGCCAGCCCATCGTATGATGATGCCCCGCCTAGCACCAGACCACCTCCATGGATCTATACCATCACCTGGACAGGAGGAAGTAATCATATTGGTTATAGGAAGCAGAGCTTGTAGGGACCTCAAGAGGCTGTTTGATTTGGCTACCGATCTCTAGGCCACAACCCAAGGAGGCTGTTTTCCAAAGTCCACAGTTCCCGGCAAGGTTGGAGCATGGACTGCTCACCCAGCTCAGCAAGCACTGCAAGCGGCGGACTTTATGTTTCACCTTTACCTTATTTAACTATTCTGGAGTGAATTGAACTTCTCCCCCAGAGCAAATGATTATCTCAAGATGAGCACATGCCCCCGATGGTATCTCTTCCTAGCATGACTTCCCTCTTCCTCCTCTGAATCCCCAAACAGCACCCACCCTCCAAAGCCCAGCCTAAAATCCACCTCTTCCAAGCTGACACACTCCCATGTGCCAGGGACTGTGCTAAGAATTGAGGATGAGAGTGGACACAATCATTCACAGCTCATGGTTCTTGAATTTGAAGAACTCACATAACATAACAGGTGAGAAGTGAGAATGGCTAAAATAGTAATATTATCAATAAAAAGAAGAGACCCTCTTATAATACACACTATGTGCCAGGTTCTCTTCTAAGCACTTAAAATCATTTCATGCTCATTAAACCATCCATGAGGTAGGTACTAATATTATCCCATTTAACAGAGATGAAAACTGAGACACTTAACTTGTTCAAGGTCGCACAGCTAGTAAGTGGTAGAAACAGGACCTAAACCCAGGCCATCTGGCTCCAGAGTTCAGATGCTGAGCTCCCCAGCACACTGTAGGCAATGACTACAGTGCAGTAAGCCCACTGTTTGAGTAGGAGTAAGATCTTCCTCTCAACTCTAACTGATGTTTAATGAGCACTTGCTTTGTGTGCTTAGCTAGATGCTGAGTTAAAGGCTCTATATGCATGATTTAATATTCATATGTGATTATTGCCATTTGGAGGAAACTGAGGCTTAGAGAAGGTAAGTAATTGCTCAAGTCTCTCAGCTAGTAAGAGGCAGAATCAGGATTTGAACCCAGACCCTGTGGCTCCAGAACCTGTGTCCATAACTAGACTCTTTCCTGCCTCCAGGTTCCCAGAGCCACTGTTTCTCCCATACCTGTAGTCACTGCCTCCCTCTGGGGGTAGGGACTGAATTTATAGCCACATCTGAGTGGAGGCTGAGCCCCAGAGCTGGTCAACAATAATTTGTTAAAGAAGTATATGTCTGCACTGCCCAGATAGTAAGGTCCTTGAGGGCAGGGGCCGGGTTGTAATGCTTTTTGGTTCTTCCTTTCCCCTAACCCCCAAGCCTAACTATGGATATGGAGGACCAACCAACCATTTGCTGTCAAGTTGACTCCAACTCATGGCGATCCCATGTGTGTCAGAGTAGAACTGTGCTCCACAGGGTTTTTAATGGTTGATTGTTATGAAAGTAGATCACCAGGCCCTTCCTCTGAGGCATCTCTGGGTGGATTCTAACCTCCAACCTTTCGGTTAGGAGCTGAGCATGTTAATTGCTTGCACCACCCAGGACTCCATACATTCATAATAGAAGAATGAATGAGTGAACATTTGCCCCCACCTCCTTGGGCCTTGCAAAGCACATATAGGGCCAATTCTAGGCACAAGTTCACAGACACCCTCCCTCACACCTGAGCACCATGCCCGGGGTGCTCCTGGGAGATTGGCTGAGTGCTAACGTCCCTCTCTCCTCCACCCCAGAGATCACCTCCTTTCTCAAAGTAGCGATTGTAATCTGGGCCCCCAGCAGCACCTGCCCCACCTCTCTAGCCTGTGTCTGGCAGCCTCTCCCACCTCTGGGCCTCTGTTTATTACAGAAGTGCTGACTCACTGGGCCATCAGCCTGTGCCAAAAAGAGTTAGCAAAGGAAATCAGCTACAAGAAAATCCCAGAAAGCAGGCCAAGGGCAAAGGAAAGTGCTTCTGGGACCGTCCCAGGCTCCACACCCCAAGCCCCCATCTCTGTATGGGGCACGGAGAGTTGTCGCAGACAGATGTTGATGGACTGAGGAAAGGCCACCCACGTGCTCAATGTCCTAGTCTAGGTCAAAGAGCCCCCCTAAAAAAACCCCGTAAATCTTTATGGAAGCAGACTGCCACATCTTACCCCTGCAGAGCAGCACGTGGGTTCTAACCACCGACCTTTTGTTTAGCAGCTGAGTGTTTTACCACTATGCCACCTGCACTATTTTGAAAATCAGGAGACCCGTGTTCTTGCCTGCCAACTCACTGTGTGACCTCCCTTCTCATCCCTGGGCCTCATCTTCCCTGTCTGTAAAGGAAGGGTTGGAATGTTCACTTGTCTCTAAAATTCCTTCCAGCTCTAACTTTATCTGAAACGATGTCTTAGCTGCTCTGGGTATCAGATTCCTAATCTAGCAACTAAGAGTAATCACTCTTGTCCATCTATCTGCACAAGAGAACTTGGAAAAATGACAATTTGCATGAGTGTTGTACAGCAAACTCCTCCAGATGCCATATGTCACCAGGTGGAAACTGAGATACTGGAAAACTTATTGGGTTTCCCATGGTCACCCTGTCTGACCCTGGTGGGTAAAGAAAGCCCATTTGCTATGGAGTCTACCCCCAATGCATGGTCACTCATGTGTGTCGGAGTAGAACTGTGCTCCATAGGGTTTTCAGTGGCTGATTTTTCTGAAGTAGATCGCCAGGCCTTTGTCCCGAGGTGTTTCTAAAGGGACTTGAACCTCCAACCTTTCAGTTAGCAGCCAAGCATGTTAATCGTTTACACTATTCAGGGACTCTGTAACCTGACCCTACGAGCGCCAGTAAATTTCCATTAGTCCTTAAACTAGCCCAACCCAGATTTGGCCTGCCCTACATGCGCAGAAGGGCCAGCTGTGATCACTAATTGACCTCAACAGAGGATGCGGCAACAGGAGGAATGAATCAGAAGGAAAATCATCACTGGGACCTTATTCCAAAGCGAGAGGTCCAACAAGAACCACGTCACCTCCTGTTTCCTGGCTGCTTTCTGGAATTTTCTCTCCCCAGTACGCCTGTGTGGCCGCCATCTTGCTGCCCAAATCACGTATAAGCCCTGCTTCCCTGTAACTCAGGGAGTCAAATCTGAGGAACTTCCTCTAGGCTTCTTGCTCGTCACATTGTAATCAAGTTACTTTCTCTTTCGAGACTAGTGTCCAGATAATTGGCAAGTCTGAGCATGCCAGACAAGGACCTAGCTTTCAGTAACAACTCCAAAGGAAGCACTGGGAACCCTAAAATAATAGCCTCGACCCTGATGCCCTCACCCCAAGCTGCCTTCACCCACTCCTTGTCTATGCCAGAAAACCCTAGAGAGCTGTAGTTCACAAGTCCTGAAGGATGGTTCCCACTGCTTACCGGCAGCCTGCTCTTCCCCGTCAAGTCAGCGGGGATGTAAATATTTAGGTAAAGACAGTTTTCAGAAAACTTGAGGGGAATGCTCTCCTTTCTGTTGGTAATGAGTTCCGAGGTCACCTGTCCTGACACTGTGTCTTGGGAGCACCTGGGGAGGAAGGGAAGAAAGAACCATTGAGCTTCAACCAGGTCTAAGCCAAGAGGTGTCTCCAGGGCTCAGGCCAGGCTGTGGACTGGGAAGTTTAAGCCTCTATGTGGAGTTGTTATTATCAGTCTCTAAGACATTGGAATCGGTAAGGGGCTACTTGGGGCAGAAGGGGGCTGAGAGGGGTCAGGGATGGGGAGGCTAGGACTCACTTAAGGTATCCCAGTTAGAATGTCATTTCTTGGAACTTAACCCTAAAGAAATGTTGATGGCTCTGCACAAAGATTTATCTATAGGATGTTCATCATAGTGTTATTTTTGTTATCAAAAAACATCAAAAACAGCTTAATACTCCCAAATAGGAGATTGGATAAATAAATCATGGTTCAAGCACTGAATTGAATGCAGCTATTAAATGTCGGACTATGATATTTAATGGCATAGGACAATGCTCAGGATACACTTTTATGTGAATAAAACAGGCTGTAGAGTATGATTCCGTCTCAAAGGGAGAAAGTATAGTGATACAACAGGAAGGAAAAAAAAGTCTAAAAAAATTCTGAAATATTAATAGCAGCACTTTCTGGGTGGTAGAATTGTATGTGATTTTAATTTTCTTACTTTTACTTCTCTGTTTTTTTTTTTTTTTAACTTTTCTGTAATGAATAAGTATTACATGTGTACTCGAGAAATAAAAACTGTGAGTAGAGTACTAAAAAAAAAAAAAAAAAAAGGAAAGCAGCCAAAGGCCAGGCTTTGGAAGCCCTCAGAACTGTCTTGCTGAGGAAAATTATGTCTGAATGGGTGGAGGCAGGTGGCCCAAATCCCCAAGTGGGGAGGCATGAGGCCAGCCAGGAAAGCTTTGTGCTTTTGACCCACTTGGCCAGGGATACTGGGACCCATGGACAATTCTCTGCTCATGAAGAGTCAGCTGGATACACCTGGGAGTTGGTAACTCACCTAGATGTCACACTCTCCCCACCTCATCACCGGCCCAACTCCCCAGACACTCCAGGGTTCAAGGCAGGAGAATAAACAGGATCATTTCTTCTGATCTTCCTCACCCAGTCAACTGTTTATTTTTCCCAAATCATTTATCATACTGTTACATACTATATAACCCTATGGGGCAATTCTGGAGCCCTGGTGGTGTGGTGGTTAAGAGCTCATGATGCTAACCAAAAAGTCAGATCTCTGAATCCATCAGCCATGCTTTGAAAACCCTGTGGGGCAGTTCTGCTCTGTCCTATAGCGTTGCTACGATTTGGAAATGACTCGATGGCACCTGACAACAACAACAACATGGGGCAGTTCTACCCTCTCGTAGGTGCCTGGGTGGCTCAGGCGGTTAGAAATTGACTGCTAACCTAATGGTTGGCTTTTCAGACCCACCCAGTGGCCCATGGAAGAAAGGCCTGGTGAATGACTACCGTAAAAAGCACATCCAAGAAAATTCTATAGAAAAGTTCTATTCTGTAATGCACAGGGTTGCCATGAGTCAGAACTGACTCAAAGGCAGTGGGTTGAGTTTTGGTTTTCTAAATATATTACATAATTTATTTATTAATGTGCATTTTTTTAAATCTGTCTCTCCCTGCTAGAATGGAAGCTCCATGAACGGTGAAACTGTTGTGTTGTTCACTTGAATCCCAGAACAAACTAAAATCAATCAGACGAATGCCTTGACTCTTTTCTGCATCACTTTGAGACAATCATCCTCACCAAAAGATGCCAAAGTCACACCCCAGGGGCTTACATAGGAGGGTAAGAGGTGGTATTCTTCATGAAGCTCCAGGACTCTGCAGGCTGCGGTGGAGCAAATCTCAGGGATCCAAGAGGGGGGCTTGGCAAGAGGGATTCGCAGGAAAACAGCCACAGGCTGTGCAAATCCTTCTAAGCTGACATACTTTCCCAGGACTTTGTCATGCACGGTGTCCACCGCAGGTGGCGAGGACGGGTGCCCTGTTGAACATGGGGAGGAAACGAGGACACACCAGAGATGAAAAAAAGCAACTTAAAAAAGAACGGTAGAAACGCTTTATGGTGCTTTGATTGGCCTTTGCCCTACCCTGTCCCCAGCTTGGTGGCATCTTGAAGACCAGCAGCCCACGTCCCCAGTGTGGGATCCTGGTCCCTGGTTCCAGAGGAGCAAAGCAGATCTTATTCAGAAATTACTGTATTTGACTCTTTCAGCTTGTCTAGGGTCTGCCTGAGTATGATGTTCACGTGGGTTGTTCATAAATACCTTTATCACGTTGAGCAATTTCCCTTCTATTCCTAATTTACTGAGAAATCCATAGAGACAGAATGCAGATTAGTGGTTGCCAGGAGTGGGGAAAGAAGATAGTGGGGGAGAAACAGCTTAATGGGTAAAGGTTTTAGTTTGAAGTGATGGAAACGTTCTGGGACTAGATAGAGGTGGTAGTTGCACAACATTGTGAAGATACTAAATGCCACGGAATTGTTCACTTTAAAATGGTTAATGTTATGTTAGGTGAATTTTACCTTAATAAATTAATAAATATAAATAAATGCAAAAAGGAGGGCTGCTAGGATTGAATACTACATTTGGTTTCCTCTCTTAGAAGTCTCTGGAAACATTTCATCCAGTAGGATCCTGGTGCCAAGCTGCATGCTAGATGAGACGATGAGCAAAAGGTGGCCCCGATTCTCAGCAGTTCTGAACCTTGCAGGGAAAGTGAGTCATGGATATACTTGACCTAAGGTAGGAAGAACGTGGTCAGCATTCTGGGAGAGGTACCAGTGAGGTGCTACAGGAGTTAGAAGGGGAGCAGTGCCTTCTGATTGGTGGCAATGTGGAGGAGGTGACACTGGAACTGGGACTGGCAGGAGGGGAGGATTTGAACAAGAGGGGATAGAAGAGGGGCTATAAAGCTTTAAAGAAGAGAGAATGTGCTGAGGCTCTGAGACATCGAAATGCAAGGCCTGCCCAGGGAAGGGCTAGTGGCCCACTTGGGCCTGGTGAAATCTTAAAGGGGTCAATAGCCTGAAATGGGAGACGTGCATGTCAGGGAGGGCCTCCAATGCCAGCCTAAGGGTTTGAGCTTTAGTTGGTGGAATAAAGAGCAGCACGCAACAGTTCTGGAATAAGGGAGAGCAGCCCAGTAAGCTGGAAGATTCTTCTGGTGGCTCTGAGCAGGATCATCCAGCAAGGAGACAGGCTGGGGATCAGATTCTTATATGTTCCGGTTTCATCCTTGTACAGCGGACAAGTCCTCCGTCTTGAACTAAAATTCATCTCCCTGCAGCTTCTGCCCATCAGTCCTGGTTCTACTGCACTGAACTAACCTGTCTTTCATGTGGCAGGCGGCCTTTTAGATACTTAACTGCACCCATCCCTCAAGTCTTCTTTTTTCCAGCCCTTGTAGCCTTCATGTGTTTGAGCATTCCTCATAGAAAGTTATTTCTAGCCTCCTGTCATCCCAGTTGCTTTCCTTTTGCTACAGACATAATGTCAACATCTCTTCAAAGCATGGGCCCAGAACAAAAAAGAATAATGCAGATATGGCCTTATAGAAGAATATCCAATGATATGGGACCCTCTTCATGCAAATACAGGTTACAAAACAGTCTCCATGTCTAATGCTATTAATAGTCAATCCCATACTGTGGACATTCAGAGTGTTATTGTTTGTTGTTGTTGCTAATTATTACAAACCACACTGAGATGGACTTCCTTGGATGTACATATGTCAAAATGCAAATGGATGATGTCATTACTGTTGACTTTTTTTGGGGGGGGCTTTCCAAGTTTTTTGCATTGTACATGGATTCTTTTTTATAATTAGAAGGAAAAATATGAAGAAATACAGTAACGTATATAAGGACCTTGGAAGAAGGTTGACAGGATTTGGCACCTGACCAGATGTGGGGGATATGGAAGGGAAAGGAAGAAGACCAAGGGGCTGGCTTGTGGTGCTGGGTTTTGTTTCAGACTGAGAAGTCAGCGAGATAACCAGGTGAGAAGGTGCTACAGGAACTGAGCACTTCAGGACTTGAAGGGGGCAGGGTGCGGCCATGGGTGTGTGAGGCTTCACTGAGGAGTCAGTGTGAAGGGAAAGAGAGAGCTAAGGATAAAGTACAGGGGACCACTAGAGCTGAGCCTGAGAAACTCCCTCAGAGGGGTGGGAGGGGTCACAGCAGCGTGGTGGGGGGACAGCATCATGGCAGCCAAGGGGGAGGGAGGAAGAGGGGCAGGCCAAGAGGGCAGAGCGCTTCAGAGACGTTGAAGAGAAGAAACAGAAGAAACCACTGGACCTGGCCTTTGTTAGCTCAGTGATAACCTTCAAAATGACAAAGTGAGTAGAAGCCAGATTTCCCAGGTCAGAAAGTGGGTAGGTGGAACAAGGGACATAAACAATAATGGTAGTAACAGCAGTTACCACATATGTTACATGACTCCAGCTCATTTAAATTAAGCCTCACAACAGCCCTGCTAGGTAGGTGTTAATGTGCCCATTTTACAGATGAGGAAACCGAGGACCTGAAAGCCCCAAGTGTGGATTTTGTAAAGACAGAGACTGGATGCAGTAACCAGCATAAGGAAATGTATCACACTCCAAATTTGGTTCCTTTCTTACTGTGCCCTCCCACTCATTCCCAGCCTCTCACAGTGTCACAACCACCAACTCTTTTTCCTCCAGAAAGAAGAGAGAGTCCAGGTAGAGCTGGGCTGTCAGCACACAGATGACTGGACCACTGGCCTGGATTCTGGAGCCAGTGATATATCCCAGGGCGCGATTGTCCAGCTGATATCGGAAAGTAGTTTCCCTCTCTGCGCCTCAATTTCTCCATCTCTAAAATGGCACAGATGCTTTCTGAGGTCCCTGACTGCACCTCTTTATATATCGACCCCTTTTTAGTGCCTCCTCTATATCAGGTGGAGCCCTGGTGGCACGGTTGTTAAGAGCTCAGCTGTTAACCAAAAGGTCTGCAGTTCCAATCCACCAGCCGCTCCTTGGAAACCATATGGGGCAGTTCTACTCTGTCCTATAGGGTGGTTATGCGTTGTAATCAATTGGAAGGTAACGGGTTTGGTTTTTGGTTGTCTGTATCAGGCACTATCTTAAGTCCTTTGGAAACAATAACTTATTTCATCCTCACAACAGCCCGGTGATGTAGTCACTAGTGTAATTCCCATTTTAGAGGTGGAGAAACGGAGACACAAAAATTAAGTAGAATATACAGCTAGTAAGTGCTGAGCTGGGATTCTAACCCAAGCACTCTGGCTTCAGAGTTCATGTTTTTAGTACTCTGCTAAGCCACTCCCCGTGATTTGGCCATATCTGGATTAATAACAGTCCTCATCTGGGAGGCATGAGGTGAGCTCTTCGCTGCCCTGCTCTTGGAGCTGTGTTTGCAGGGTCAACACCCCGCCCCACACCACCTCCAGGGTCCAGAGTGGGCTGGGCAGGCTGCTCCAATCAGGAAGGCGCTCTCAGTTAATGGATCTGGACTTGTTGCCTTTGTCCTGTATGTAACTCTGTCCACTTCTCCCAAAACAACAAGGATTTCCAATTGTGTCACCCAATATTTGTATTTCAAAATGACTCACCTCGAACCTTAGCAGCAGCGAGGGAGGCCAGGACCAGAGCGAAGAACCTCATGGTAGAAGGGTTGCTGCGCCTGCAGCCAGCGAGGTCTCGCTGCGCTAGGAGGGGCTGTGCCTGTTCAGCCCCAGGGCCCAGGCTCCTGTCCCTGGCCACAGGATTGCCAAATTCAAAGTTATTTGAAAAGCTCTGCCTCTTTTAAGGATCACTAAGCAGGGCGGGGAGGCAGGAGAGGGGCTTTAAGCCAAGCCCACCCAGAATGTACCATCATATCTAAGCAGCCCTGCCAACCTCTCTAATTACAAAAGTCACAAACTTGTCAAACAAGTTGTCACATAAGGGTTTCTGCTTTCCCTGGACCTTAATCTTAGTGTGCTGCGAATTGCCCAAAGGGAAGCACATGCAGGCAGAAGCCTAGGCTCAAGGGGAAGCTTTGATCTTGGGAACTCAGAACAAGCTTTAAAATAGAGCAACTCCCAGCCCCACGACTGCTGGGTATTTTAAAGCATATCTCTTAGCTTCCTTGGGCTTACATTTCCTAGGGTTCTAGGCTCTCAAGTTTGGAAGAGATCTTAAATTTCATCCAGTCTCCCTTGTGATGCCTCATTTAGCTTTACAATATTCTTGCCAGATGATCGGCCTTCTGCTACACACCCACAGACTCACGGAACTGAGTACCTCTGCAGGCAGGGGTCTTTGGACAGACTGTTCTTCCAGCAAAGGCTATTCATCTCCCCCTAGTCCCTGGCTCTAGTCATCCATCCATGCTCTATTCATTCATTCTTCGAACATTTACTAGGCACCTGGCACTTTGCTAGGTGCTATGGATACAAAGATGAATTCAAGACATGTCCCATCTCTTCCAGGCGTACACTGTGTATTGTACAACACAGACGTGGGGGGAAGGTTGGAATGAATGCAAAAGCACCAAAATAGGTGGATACAGAGTGCTGGTATACTTGGGTACAAATGGCTAAAGTGCTGGGAACACAAGGAAGATGCTCAAAGCCTCTTTCACAGAGTCATTCAGTGTCCCCAAATAGGGATTAGTTAAATGCACACTGGTACAGCTGGCCAACAAATACTATGCACTTACTCAAACTACTGATGTAGGTCTCTATTTATTGAGAAGGAAAGACAGTTATGATCTATTCTGAAGGCGAAAAAGAAAAGGTCATAAAACAGTTATGGCTGCTTTGGAAAAGAATTTGGTGTTTCTTCCAAAAGTGTAACCTAGAGATACCATCTCTAATCCAGCAATTCCACTCCTAGGTGTGTACCCAAGATAATTGTAAACATATGTTCACACAATGTGTACATAAATGTTCACAGCAGCATTATTCATATAGGCAGACCAACCCAAATGTCCATAAACAGAAGAATGGATAAACAAAATGTAGTCTATCCAGATGATGTAATATTATTCAGCCATCAAGAGAAATGAAATTCTGATGCGTGCTATAACATGGATGCACCTTGAAAACATTATGGTAAGTGAGAGAAGCCAGACACAAAAGGCCACATTATGTAATTCCATTTATATGACATGTCTAAAATATGCAAATCCATAGAGGCAGAAAGTAGATTAGAGGTTGCTAGGGAGTTTAAAGGGGGGAATAAGGAATAACTGCTAATGGGTATGGAGTTTCTTTTAGGGTGATGTAAATGTTCTGGAATTAGACAGTGGTGATGGTAGTAAAACTTTGAGAATATACAAAAACCCCCCAAATTGTACACTTTAAAAGGGTGAATTTTAGGTATGTGAATTGTATTTCAATTAAATAAATAAAATTTTTTTTAAATAGCTATGCATATATATATACGAGCCTTCTTGGCCCTTTCCAGGCAGCAGCCAACCTCCTGCAGGACCTGGCTGCACTGCAAACCTTTCAATGTCAGCCCCCATGGACTGCTGGCAAGGGAGATGCTCTGTGTGACCTCAGCTGTGACTCAGAGTTGCAGGGAGACAGCTGCATGGTGGTCAGAAACTCCTCAAAGAGCTGGTAACGAATTGGACTCTGGTGTTCTGCTTGTCAGCTTGTTGCCTCCAGGCCTTGGAAGGGCTGAGCTGGGTCAGACTAGCAGGGTGTGAGAGGAAGGGGTGGGCTGCAGGAAACCAGGAAGGGCACCCCTGGCCCCAGAGAAGGCCCCAACAAGGACTTGGCCTGGACACACTCAGAAGCTGTGTATCTACTGTCTCAGTCTAGCTCCTCTGCAGCTCCAGAACCCCAGTCTAGGATGGGCAGATCACAGTCAGAAGCAGAGGCCTGAAGCAACCCAGGCCCAACCTGAGCCATCCCCATATTCATCCTAAATTCATGTCAGGGAGTCTGGGAGGCAAGACTTTTTTAACTGTGTACATTACTGCCCTGTTAGGAAGAGGGTGAGAAGGATATTGGGTTGACACTTGTCATTGTCTCCTTCCTGTGACTTCCTCACCCTGAATTCCATCCTGTGGTCTAGAATAAAATTTGTCTTGAGCCCAAGTTATGGGGACTCAAACCTCAGGTCTTGCAGGGTAAAGGCAGACAGACTTGGGGTCAACATTCATAGAGGCGTCTCTGAGCTGGCAGGTGAACATGTCTGCTGAGCAGTGCATTCTGCCCACTCCAGGTTCCTTCTCCCCTTCCTTGGCTAACAAGGCACCTTAGCAATGGAGGAAGCTGATTAAAATATAATATGGGCACTGTGGCCACCAGGTGGCACCAACACACACTTCTGCTGCTAAACAGAGGCTGAGGGAAGAGAAGAGGACTGAGGGCCTTTGTTCTCTGGACACTTCTTAGAGCCTCAACACCTCCATAGGCCAGAGGAGTGAAAAGTGGTCCTTGTCTGGATGAAAAGATCCGTTTGTTTTTTATTGTTATGTCTTGGAGGGAGTCATTGATTCATTCATCAGCATCATACTTAGTTCTACTATGTACCAAGAAGGAACTAGAGAATACAAAAATGAATAACCTCTCCTCAAGGAACTCAAAGTCTGATGGGGAGGCAGATGGTGTGATGATAAGGAAACATTTATTAAGCACCTACCAAATGCTCATTTAAACCCCTTTTAGTGACTTCCTATTGCCTTCAAGTTAAATCCAAGCTCCTCTGTCTTTCTCTCCTCATCTCACCCCATCTCTCTGGCCCAACCATTCTAGACTAGCTGCATTTCCCCCACCACACCCCTATGCCCTGGTCTTTTCTCATCTGTCTGAAACGGGCTACCTCTTCTATGTCTCTAAAGTTGTCACCTCCTAAAAAAAGTCTTTCCTGATCTACTCTCATCATTGACTTACCGCAATTTATTCAGATAATCTTTTAAGGGACAAGTAACTTTTGGGATAAGAGGCAGCAACCACAAATTACTTGCATGTGTATCGCCAGTGACTAGGCAAGTGTCCAGCACATGGTAGGTTTCTCAGTGGATGGTTGGGGGAAGGGTTCTCTTTGGATGGTTGGCTTTACAGAGACTAGTGAAACAAGGCCCATTTCACAGCCTGCCGGGGAAATCAAGCACTGAATCCCATCTACAGAGATCAGAGAGGGTTCCCTCAAACAGGTGACACTTGAGCTACATCTTGAAGGAAATTCCAGAACATGAGACTAGCAAAAGTAACCGCACAGAGGCATGAAGCAGTATAGGGAATACAAGGGTCTGCAAAACTGTGCAAAGTGCAAGTGGAGGGGTTGAAGAAGAGTAAAATCCAGAATATGAGGGGCCGCATATCCTGGGATAAGGAGGTGGAAATTTTCCAGAGGGCAATAGGAAGCCATTGAAAAGTTTTAGATATGCAAAGTGGTGTGATTATACGTGAGTGTTAGATGGTGTTATCAGTAAGCGATTGCTGTAACAAACTATCCCCAAGCTTAAAACAACCACCAGGTATTTAGCTCATGAATCTGTGGGCCACTTAGGAAGTTCGGCTGTTTGGGACCAGGCTCAACTGATCTCCACTGGGCTCCCTCTTGGGTCTGCAGTCAGCTAGTGGGTCAGCTGGAGTTGACTGGTTCTTGACAGCTTCACTGGTGTGACTCCATTCCATGTAGCGTCTCATTATCTGGCAGACCAGCCTGGGATAGTTCACATGGCAGTTGCATGGGTTGAAGAGAGCGTGTGGACATGTGCAAGGCTTTTTGAGGCCTGGGTCGAGAACTGGTACATGTCACTTCTGCCTTATTGTGTTGTCAAAGAAAGTAAGGAGACCAGCTCAGACTCTTAATGAGTGGAGCCGCAAAGCCCCATGGCAAAGCGCATGGACGTAGAAAGATGAGGACGATTGTGGCCATTCGGATGGATCCCTCAGGCCCTGTAGGGTGAGGATGGTGGCAAGGAGACCAGACGGGAGTCTATGAAATCAGCCGAAGTGAGAGACAAAGGATATATCCTTGCAGAGAAAGCTAGGGAAGCCAGGCTTCCTGAGGTGTAATCCATCCTGAAGGCTGTAGTCTTTGATTTTTATCAGCAACTGTTGTGCTGTATGGACACCACTCACAGGAGGGCAGCAGAGAACCATCAGCTAGAATGGTTGCCCTTGGCCAGAAGCAAGTGACTTCAATGGTTGGAAGTTAGAGAACAGGACCAAAAAAACCAAACCAAACCCACTGCCATTGAGTGGATTCCAACTCACAGCAAACCTATAGGACAGAGTAGAACTGTCCCACAGAGTTTCCAAGGAGCTCCTGGTGGATTCAAACTGCGGACCGTTTGGTTAGCTGACATAGCCCTCAGTCACTATGATACCAGGGTTTCTGAGGTCAGGACAGGCCCAGGTTAGGGATTTTAGAACAGTTTTCTAGGTAGGAAGGCAGGATTGCTTTGCACGTAAGGACTCAGATTCTGGAGTCAAACTGCCAAGATTCGTGTCCCAGCTTTGTCACCAGGGCCAGCTTCATGGGCTTGTGACCTGTGCAGTCACATGGGACCCTGCTCTCAGAAGAAAGGTCCCACACTTGTTTTAATGCTCTGCTGTTGCTGTCTTGACATTCTGAGAAATTTTTAATTTTGCTCTGCACCCTGGAAATTATGTAGCTTGTCCTTTTTGTCACTTACTTGCTGAGTAGTCTTCGATCTCATGTTCACCTTCACGTGGTTCATACCAAGTATTCGCCTCACAGTGTTGCTGTACAGATTGTTTGAATTAATATGAAAAGTACATACAGCACATAATAAATATTCAATAACTGTTAGTTACTACTATTACTATAGGGTTGAAGCAAATAATGAACATATCACTGAAGGCTGATGCCCATTTCTTCCTTGTCAAGATCTGTCTATCTGACTATCAGTCCATCCGTCTTGGTTTATGACCAAGCACTTACTTACCAGTTACAGCTCGGTTGAATCGATTCCAACTCTTGGTGACCCCATGTGTGTCAGAGAACTGTGTTCCATAGGGTTTTCAATGGTGGATTTTTTGGAGGTAGATTACCAGGACTTTCTTCCGAGTTGCTCCTGAGTGGAGTCAAACTTCCAACCTTTCAATTAGCAACCAAGCGTAGCAATCATTTATGCCACCCAGGGACTTGCTAGGGGATCACAAAAATTAATCTGACCTTAATCCTGACCCCAGGAGCCCATAGTCTAACAGGAAAGCCTCTGGTCACCAGCTAACTTGGCTTCCTTTTTATTCCTGGTGCCAATGTACAGATGAACACAAATGAGCAATGACCAAAAAGACTGATGGCTGAGCAGTCCTGAATTGCTATGCTAGCTGTGTGACCTCAGACAGAGTGTTCCTCTCTCTGAGCCTCAGACTAATAAAATAACCATCCCCCTTACTCCAGGGTTGTTGGAAGATTAAAAGAAAGTGTTGGCCGTGGACATGCTTTATCCTTCACAAAGGGGCTGTGTGTGTGATGGCTGTGACCAGGTGGGAGCTGTAGAAAGTCCCCTCCTCCCACCTCCCTGCTCACATTCCTCTCAAGGATGGAAAAAGACTGGGCTGTGGCAAGGGAAGGAGGCTCTTTCCTGGCACCCAATCTGACAGGTCTGTGGGAATCCAACATGAGTTTCATCCAGGAGCAGTGCCCCCACTGGGCAGAAGGACCTCAAGTTCATGGTGAAACAGAGGATCATCTTCTGCAGAGCTGGAGGACAAAGGAGCTCCTGGGGTGGGATGTATCCACACACACCCACCTGGTTGTTTGATAATCTAAAGAATTGGAGGCCTGCCCCTTGCTTTCAATCCAGGCATGGTGGGTACCATTTTGAAATATTAACCAGGACTTGTTGCTTCTTTTCTACCTCTCTCCCCCACCCCACATTTCACTGTGTCCCTGGGCCTTGTACATTCACTCCTCTAGGCTTTCCTCAATTACTACCTTAGAAAAGAAACGTCAGAGCAGAACACAGAAAACTTGGCTTTGAGTCTAACATATGTGAATCCTGAAAGACTGTGGGGAGATATAACAGATTTGGAAGACTGAAAGATGATACAAGAGTAAGACTTAATTATCAAGCTGTAGATTATCTGGAAGAAGTCCTGGTGGCACAAACCGTTAAGAGCTCAACTCACTCAGTGGCTCCAAAGGAAAAAGACTTGGCGATCTGCTTCCATAAAGATTACAGCCTAGAAAACTCTATGCGGCAGTTCTACTCTGCCACACAGAATTGCTATGAGTCAAAATCAACGCAATGGCACCTAACAATGGCAGATTTCTTGGGCTAGAAAGAGGAAGAGAAGGGGATGGCTTAAATAAGTATGTAGCACTGGTGAAGTCCCTGAGAACAGAAGCCTGTATTCCCATCCTCCTGCCAACCCAAGTCTAGAAGGGCATCACAGAAACCCAGACAGATTTTAGAGGCAGCTGAAAGCAGAGGAGAACTGAGCCTCTACCCTGGAGAAAACATTGGGAGAACCCATGGGCACAATCAGATGTGGTTTCTTAATGTATCTGGGCAGACAGATGTAAGCCTGGACAGTCAGATATAGTTGTGCAGATTGTGCACTGAACAAGTCTAAGGGGGCCATTCACATCCCCCTGTGCAGAATTTTCACATCATACCTGTTGATCCTGTCACAGCACTCCCTGAACCTCAGTGAGGTGAAGAAAAAGTAGATTTTTTTTTTTTTTTTTTTTGGTCCAGAATGAGGCGTGACAATGTAGATCAAGGGACAGTACACTACGGCCCATGGGCCCAATCTAGCCCCACTGCCAGTTTATGTAAATAAAGTTTTATTGGAACACAGTCATTCTCATTTGTTTACATCTTGTCTATAGCTGCTATCTTGCTATGATGGCAGAGTTAAGTCTCTGGACAGAGACCATATGGCCTGCAGAGCTGAAAATATTTAATTTCTGGCCCTTTACAGAAGAAGTTTGCTGACCCCTGCCATAGTCTGGCAGCCATCGCAGACTCGCATCTGAGGGCCAGATGAGGACCTGGAGGCCTCAGGAGATACCAGTGTGGCCAGATGACAATACTGATAGCCCATTGCTCCCTTACCCACCACACACCCCCAATGAATCAGCACTCGTAGGGCCTGTACCTTAGATACAAGCCCAGGAATGAGGGCAAAAGATTCTGAAATGTCACCAGCACAAAGGGGCTCCAAATGCAAATTAAGTTCAATCCTTTCTAAAAACATACAATCCCATTTCTTGCCTGTCTGTATTTGTGAACTGAGATGTCACAGCCAATGCACAGGGCCAGGTGTGCAGGTCCTGGGCTAATTGTCCTCGCCTTCATTCAGCCGCTCACCTCTGTACTTGCCAGGTGAAGCTCTGGACACACCTGCTGGATAGGCGGTGCCCACTCAGAAGTCTGCATTCCCACAGTGCCCTTGTGAAGGCAGAGATGGTGGTTGCTATGCTCGCATCCCCAGCAGAGCACCTTCCTGCTTATGGTGCAGTCTCTCTAAGGAAAAAAACAAAAGCAAACCCATTGCCTTTGCTTCCAACTCATGGTGACCTCATGTGTTACAGAGGAGAACCGAGTTCTGTAGCGTTTTCTTGACTGTAATCTTTACGGAAGCAGATCACCAAGCCTTTTCTTCTTTCTTCTGCAGCACTGCTGGGTGGGTAGAACTGCCAACCTTTCAGTTAGTCAAGCAAAAACCATTTGCACCATCCAGAGAACTCATTCTCTCTAAGGTGGAAGGTTTAATCTCTAGACCAAGACACAGACACTGGCTTGATCTCCAAAACAACATTTATTCCCAAAATTGAAGCCACAGGTACAAAATTGGGCTATAAACGCCTTCTGTAGAATACCCCTGTAGAATACCCTGTTGGCCTTCTGTTCATAGCTCAATGTGCTCTGCCTGCGGTGGCTTATCTGCTGCCTTTTTGGCCAGGACCTCAGTCCAGAAAGCCACCTCCTTGTCTTTCAGCTTCTGGGCTGCCTTAGTGGTGATGCCAATCTGCAGGTACCCTTCCTTCTCGTCATATGCTGGCCAATGGGGCAGCCCTTCTCCGTTGGGGTTCCTGGGAACAGAATCAAATAGAAATTCCCAAAGCTACAGTGTGGTCCAAAGCAACCCTGTGAGATGTGCAGCGGTCCCCTGGCTTCATCTCTGCCAAGAGGTTCACTCGCCTCCAAGACAAGGAGCTCACTATCTCTGGGGGGAGCTTGTCCACTTTTCGAGAGCCCACGTTGTTAGAGTACTTTGGTCATAGAGTCAACAGCTTTACCACTTAAACTTTAGAAGCTCCCCTTCCTGATAGGTATGCCCTGCTCCTCCTGTCCCCAACCCTGTTCCAGCTCTGCCACCAGTCTCACCCATTCCGAGCAAAGTTGGCCCACAATTTCATCACCATCTTGCTGAGTTTGACCTCCTCTTCTGTGGCACCCTCTATGGGAAAGAGAAACAAACAAATAAAAAAAGGCTTTTCTACTCAAAGTATGGTTCATGGACCACTAGCATCAGAACTACTTGGCCACTCATTAGAAATGCAGAATCTTGACCTTATCCCAGATCTACCGATTCAAAATCTGTATTGTAACAAGATCCTGGGTAATTTGTGTGCACTTTAGGTTTGAGAATTACTCATCTAGGACTCAGTGAAGGGCCTGCAGTTGGTCTGTGAGCTGGCTGTGTTTGTCTTTTTTGTGCCCACAGGACCCTCCTTCCTCTTCAGAATCACAATGTCATGCCCTACAGCTTCCTTCACAGCAGCTCCAACTCCCAAGACTGCTCTCCTTTGGGTATTTTCTCAATCCCCTTCACCCACCTACATTTTGATAGTCTGAAAAAACAGAGCTGAAATGGTCCTACGGAGATATACAACCAGGAGATGTCCAGAGGCACTGGTGTGTCACAATCATGAGGTGGATCACAAGACATCTGTAATACCTAGTAGTTAGGTATTGGAGACACTGGTGAAGGATTTTCTTTAAAATACTATATTATTAAATTGATAAAATTTTAAAAGTTATAAGTTTTAGATAGATGTTAAGATAGATGATAGATATACAGGTAGATAGATGGTAGATATGTAGGTAGATAGACGATAAGATAGATGGTAGATGGCAGATAGATAGATAGAGGCTAGATAATAGATAAATAGACAGACACTCACACACATAAGAAATGATTCAAGTTAACACCAAGTCTAACCTTACTCTCACTCGCATTCTGTTACGCTCTTACAAGTGGGAGATGAAAGGGTAACATTCTAGCCCTTGAGCAGGGCCCTGCAGGTGACCTACTACCTGTCTTATTGATGCCACAGGTCTGGATTCTGACAGTGACTGTGGCTGAGGGCATGTGGATGCACATCCCCCATCATGCATGTTAGAGCAGGAGAAAGGTTGGGAACTGCCCAGTTAGTTCAATCCTATTATGGTGAGTTCAGGAAACTAAGGCCAGGAAAGAAGGAGGAAATTGCTCGAGGCCACCAAACGGAGACTTGAGCCCAGGTCCCCTAACTCCAAGCTCATAGCCAGCAAAGAGCCATCACCTTTTAAAAACGGAGTCCCGAAGACGGAGAAGAGCTCATCCCCGTGGTCTCCTATCACCGTCTTGGGTTTCATCTCTGATGAAAAGCTTGGACGATGCTGAAACTCGTACATGTACGTGGGGGCTCCGGCATCTGAGAAAACATGGATTCATGCTCAGTTCATTTTAGCAGATGCATACCTGGATGGTCTCAAGCTCTCCAGAGGGCCCTGAGCGCTCAGAGAGTTGGTCACACACCTAGGTACTGAGTACACAACACCAACGATATTAATAGCAGCTGCCCTTTGTGAGTGCCAACTGTGTGTTGGGCACTGTGTGGCCCTGCAGGAAGCCCCGGTTCATCAGCACAATTGAGAAACGGAGTTTCAGAAAAGCTCACTGTCTAACTTAAGACTGCATAGGTGGTAGAGGTAGGGCAGGGATTTGGGTTTAGTATTTGTTGAATAAATGAATGAATGAATGATGTTGAATGAATGAATTTTGAAATTCCTACATCAATTCTTTCAAAATGACTATCATTATAGGGCCCTAGGTCAATTCACGTAAATACCTTTGCCTACTGATGTATTCACACACACAACAATCTACATACATCACATGTACACTCTTGTATTTCATTGATAACAGACTTGTTTTCATTCCTCTGGAGAATATCTACAGTCCAATAGGTATCTTCTATTTTCCCTAGTTTTGAGCATTTCCACTGTTTTTCTCACACATTCTGAGAAGAGTGAAGCAAATCCATGTTACTCATCTGAAAGCGAGGATATTGAAATACACATACATGCAGAATGGGAACGATCTGTCTCTTGTGTCTCAAGAAACCACAAGCTCAACAGTTCATGTTTCTGTCCCCTCCCTTATCTTGCTTCCTGCTTGGCCCAGGGAGTGTTAAGGGGCGGGCAGGAAAGAGAAGGGGCCATGGAAGTGCAACCTGGCCTTTCTCCTGTTCTCCCAGCGCTCCTCTCTCACCACTGAAGCTCTCCTGTCCAAGTTCAAAAAGATGTCATTTTTCCTGCTGACTGGTCATCAGAGCCACCAATTCCTCAGGGCTAACTCATGGGCCACCCATCTAAAAGAACTCATTGCTTCACATAGGTCACAATGCCCACTGAGGAGAGATTCTACGGGGGGCGGGGGTCATGCCCCAATCAGGCTATCATTATAGAGCAGTAGGTCAATTCACAGAGCCCTGGTGGCACAGTGGTTAACAGCTTGGTTACTAACCAAAAGGTCGGCAGTTCGATTCCACCAGCCACACCTTGGAAACCCTATGCAGTTCTCCTCTGCCTTATAGGGTTACTGTGAGTCAGAATCAATTCCATGGCAACACGTTAGGTCAATTCACATAAACCCCTTTGCCTACTGATGCATTCACACACACAAATCTATATATACCCACAGTGGTGTCACTAGGAGGGTGCAGGGGGTGCTGCACATGGTGACATTGTCGGAGGGTGTGACACCAAAATGACTGTCTATAAAATTTGGTGCAGTATTTCAGCAGAAATTTATTATTTTTTTATAAACATATCCCTGTAGTTAGTTATAACAACTAAAATATTTTTCATTAGCCCAGCTTCCATGTATCAATAAACCTACAAGGCTAAAAGTCTATGCTAACATCCTTTTGAATCTTCTAATGCCCTCTGGTCAGAGCTGTCATTATTACCCAATTACAATGACATTTTGAATCACATGGTTTTGTCTGCATGCGTTACAAGCACGCACTGTTGTTTTCGTTGCTGCCAATGTTTTATAGTTGCTGATTTTGTCAAATTTTCTGGTGTTTTAGCTACAATATTGTAGTAATTAGTATTCGTGAACTTATATCAATAACTTTTTTGAGAATGAAGTAGTAATTAAAAGAAAAGAAGGAGAAAAATAAAAACGTTTTCTGCTTACTTACCAATAATGCTATAACTAATAATGTAATTCAGTGTAGAAAGATTTTACAATACAATTATGTTGTTAGCATTCATACAATCTAAGAAATGTCAAATTTAAGCAATTTACTACTATATTTATCACATATTATTCTAAGATTAAAATTGATAATAAACATTGCTAAGGACCGTGTATGGTCTAGGACGGGAGGAGGTCCGGAGCGGGGGCAGGGTGACACCATGACTTACCACACTGGGTGACACCAACCCTAGTGATACCACTGTACATCCAGTGTACACTATTGTATTTCATTGATATCAGGCTAGTTTCCATTCCTTTGGAGAATACCTACAGCCTGACATGTGTCTTCTACTTTTCCTAGTTTTGAGTATTCTCACTGGTATAGAAATTTTGCAACTTTTTCCCCCTAAGCATGGTAAGAAGTTTACAAAACACAGAAAAATGAACAAAAAGATCCCTTATAATCCCACCACTCAGAGAAAGCCTTTGTTAATATTTTATCACATATGCCTTTAATAGATATAAAATTGAGATAATATTGTATATGCCATTTTGCAATATACTATAATTATTTCTTCACATTGTTAAATATTCATCCACAAAATGATTTAACAATATATGTCATCCCAACATGAGGATTTGCCCCTGGGTGGTACAAATGGTTAATGCGCTCAGCTGCAAACTGAAAGGTTAAAGGTGCCCAGAGGCACCTCAGAAGAAAGGCCTGGTAATCTACTTCTGAAAATTCACCCATTGAAAACCTTATAGAGCACAGTTATACTCTGACACACATGGGATCGCCATGAGTCGGAGTCAACTTGATGGCATCTAGAATCAGAAAACATGAGGATTCAGCGTAATTTATCTAATCATTCCCCTCACTTCCTCATTGCATCCTTGAATTAAAAAAAAGAAGTGTTGTTTGGAACAATCAGTCCTTCTGTGGCTCTAACCCACTTGTTAAACAGGAGCTTCAAGGCCAAGCAGAACTTGCTGAAAGCAGGTGGCTTAACCTTGTCTCTGCCACTCAAAAGTTTTAGAAAGGAAACAGAACCCAACCATAGAGGAAAGGCTTTTTGTGGCTGAGAGAACTTACTTTAGGCAGTATCTTGCCCCCCGCAAAATACTTTTTTTTAAAACTTACTGCCTAAAACCACTGAGATTTGTAACATTCCTACAATCACAACACAGGTCTTCAGAGGAAAGCAGGGCACAGATTTGGGTGACAGCAATTAGGAACAAGAGACACAGACACAAGGAGAGAGCTCACAATCAAATATTTACAAATTAAAATACAACATGATTTTTTTTTTTATTTTTGCTGGGGTAGGGCTTATGAAATTGACAGCATTTTTTAAATTTTTTAATTATAGTATGCCAAGTGGAAAAGAGAGCTAAGAAATCCACACTCTTATGCACTGGACAGCAATTTTGCAATATGTATCAAGAGCGTTAAAGCACCCTTACAGTTCAGCCTAGTAATTCCGCTTCTAAAAGCCAGTCCTAAGAAAATTATTAGAGATGTGATCAAAGAGTTATGCACATAAGGATGAGTATAAGCTTATTTGTAACATCAAAATATGAGCAGCCAGCCTAAGTATCCAGTAAGACAGGAAGGTTAAATCGAGTTATAATGTATTCATTCCATGGAATCATATGCAGCCAATGAAATACATGCTTTTTTTTTTTAATTGTACTTCAGGTGAAGGCTTACAGAACAAATAGTTTCTCATGAAAATGTACTACACATATTGATTTATGACATTGGTTAACAACCCCACAACATGTCAACCCTCTCCCTTCTCGACCTTTTTTTTTTTTTTGGGGAAAATATATGTAGCCAAAGATACAAAGATACACCATTTCAAAAATTTCTACATGCGCAGTTCAGTGACGTCGACTACGCTCTTGCAATTGTGCTGCTAGTCTCACTTTAGATGAAGCCTTACAGAACAAAAAAGTTTCTCATTTAACACTTAGTACACATGTTGCCCTATGACAACGGTTAACAACCTCACAACACATCAACACTATCCTTACTCAACCTTGGGTTCCCTATCACCAGCTTTCCTG